TGCTCTCCACAGTAGTTCCTTCTCCATTGAGTAGATCATGAAAGGCCTGGAACTTGTTGCTGAGGACTATCTTGAATTTGTTGAGTTTGTCAGTGTCCTGAAGAAAGGCCATATTGAACTTTTGCGATATTGGCCGCCCCGTTGTCCAGTGTTTCTTGAGTTTCAATTTCATCTTGGCGACCAGCAAGCGATGATATGATGCTATATCAGCTCCTCTCTTGGTTCTCACGTCTTCCATCGTCCTCCCGAACTTTTTATTGTTGCAAATATGGTCGATTTGGTTTTGCGTGGTGTGATCCGGTGAAGTCCTTGTGGTTTTGTGTATGCGTTTATGTGGGAATATGGTGCCGCCTATGACCAGCTTATTGAAGGCACATAGGTTTGCAAGTCTCTCACCATTTTCGTTCCTTTCTCCAAGTCCGTGTCATCCCATGATGTCTTCATATCCAGTGTTGTCCGTTCCAACCTTGGCATTGAAATCTCCCATCAGAATGGTCAGGTCCTTTGTTGGGCACTTCTCGATGATTGACTGCAGCCTATTGTAGAATTGATCTTTAGCGTCTTCATTGTAGTCGTTGTTAGGCGCATAGCATTGGATGATGTTCATTGAAATACCCTCTTTCTTTGTTTTGAAGGAGGCTTTGATGATCCTTGGTCCATGAGATTCCCATCCTATAAGCGCATTTTGTGCTTGTTTGGACAGCATCAATGCAACTCCTTGTGTATGTGGGGCATTTTCTTCTTCATGGCCGGAGTATAACAGGAGCTTTCCCGTAGTTAGTCGTTGTTGTCCAACTTGTGTCCAATGTGTTTCACTGGTCCCAAGTACCTCTAGGTTGTATCTTCTCATTTCTGCAGCAATTTGGATGGCTCTCCCGGTGTCCCACATTGTACGAACATTCTATGTACCTGAATAACTGGTCGCTCTGGTTGTCAGAAGGAGCATCGGCCTCGCAACCTCCGAAAGAATTCGGCTTTCATCATGAGGTGTCATAGTTCTTCTAAAAGAAGAGCTTCTGACTCCCGGGGCAGAGTTTAAAAGGTTTGAATAATTTTTTTCTGGTTGGCGTTTTTTAGCGAGTTAGTTTTCTACGGGATGGGGACGCTAACCCCATGCCCAACCCTCCTCCTTTATCCGGGCTTGGGACCGGCAGTAGCCCCCGGAGGGACTCCAGGCGGAGTTCAAAATGTGATTGGTGAATAAATAAGACACAGTCGTACAAGGTCAAGGAAAGTTAATGTGGTGGTGGGCGTTTCACTTTATCATTGGTGAGCTTATTTACCTATCGCATTTTACATGCAGTCAGTGAGAACGTATGTAGAGGCTGTCAGGAAACAACGAGGTGGATATTTGTCTTTGTGTGTCCTTAGTGTTCCGGACAGTGCACAGGTGACCGTCCAATGGAATCAGTATAAGAGATCGTATTTAAAAGTACCTACTCCAGTTCGGTCATGTGTAGTGGGAGAAGTGTCCAGATACACGAGGAGTAGATCACACAAGTTCTTCATATGGATGAAGTGCGGTCAAACGGATGATCACACTGTGATCCTATCTGTACGGTTTCGGAGATGTAATGTACGTAAATCACTGGAGAGACTTGTTGTCTTATTCAATATAAAGTACGAACATTGATAGCTCCAGGATGTAGTTCAGAGCACAATTCGAGACCGTTTCGTAAAATCAAATTCTCAGCACTGGTGATTAAGTCATATTAATAAGTGATGAATGAATTTGATTGTGAACAAAAGGGTCTTGAGTACTGTTGGTACGTGGACAGTTGTCTCTCCTCGGTTGACTGCACTGTGATGAGGGATTTCCTGAGTTATCTGTAAAGAAAACCGGAATAATAGTAGTGTTTGCGAATTGGGAACATGATCCAATGCCTAAGGGAAAACTGCTCGAGGTTGGTTGCATACGGTTTTTAGTGATACTTTTAGATGTGCTAAATCCGTACGTACAAGCCTTAGCACGGGCGACGAAAATCCGCAACATCAAGTGTGCTATTTTTAGTGCTGAGCTTTTGTATTTTCCTTCTGCTTTAAGGCAGCAGTTTGTTGTACAACCTCACTCTCAACCAACGAGCGTCATTTGTGGCGTAGGCGAGATATCCGTCTACCAACCAAAGACCGAGTTTACTGTGCGGCAGCTCTCTCCGTTCAACTTCATGGACGTGGGACATGGCCATTAGGAATAGGGATGGGTGGTCGATTGATGAGGTGATAAATATTCACCAACTGATGTGGTTGGGACGTGTATTACGTATGGTAGTAATGCAGAAGTTCGGCAATGTGAGTTAGGACACAGCGAAGATAATTCGGTTGGAGTCACCATGTTGAAACACTGACTTTGGTGGCTTGGACATTTCTTACTAATGTCGTCTCAACGAATTTCGCATTGCGCATCATTTGCCGACTCTGGGACTGGTTAGAAAAAGCGGTGAGGTCAGTGCATGACATGGTGTCGTGCTATAAAAGAAAGCTGTACAAGACAGGCTTCTGTCAGTCATTGTCGACTCCCTGGTTGTGGTCCTAGAGATAGTGCAACACAATGGCTTGCGACATTGTCAGAAGTGGTTCAGAATAGAAGCCTATAGTGATCCTGCTGCAACTTTCTTTTACTTCATGAAAATGAGAGTAACTTCTTTGATTGAAAGAGTTTCTTTTGATTGTACTTTTTCTAACTGAACTGCTCCTCCCATCATTATTATTTCAGTTTTATACATTAATTTCTGTTCATTGTTGTTTTTCCTTTTTACTGTATTCGTTTCCCTTCCTCTATTTTTTCACAACCTCATTTTCATTGTGTCGCACATATATATTTGGTGCCTCCCTGCACCAATATTTATATTTTCAAATAATTAAATAAAACACTAGCTCTCTAATTTTAATTGTTTATTCCGAATGGATAAGTGTAGGAAGCAATATCTATATACGGCAAAAAACCGATACCCAATGCATTTAGCAATCATTCAAAATCGTGAAATCAACATAACCACTCACACTGAATATTTCGATTTGTATGTTGTTTCAAACGGAATCGGTATCCACCGTTCCTAATATTCGTTGATACGTATTATTACTTAATTGATGAGCAAAACCAGAAGAAAGTTTATCAGTGTTGAATAGTTTTTGCGTGACGGGGGCTTGAAAAACAATATATGGTCAATGTTTTTCAGAAAAATGGTTTAATGTTGTATACATTTTAAGAACTATCTGAAGGACACACCAGTATATATATATATATATATATATCATAATTATCGACATTTCATCATATTTGTATATGCAAACACCTCAGGCAGAGTGAGGGCATACAGCCACCTCTCTTCATTGTTCCGTTCGAGTAGTGGGGTTAGACAGGGTTGCCCAATCTCACCATTCCTCTTCAACTTTGCCATCGATGACATTCTGGAAGCAGCTCTGATGAATGTAAGTAATGGTGGTGTGGATCTGTTGCCTGGAGAAAGACTTCTTGACCTTGAGTATGCGGACGATATTGTCTTACTGTGCGATAATGCCCAAGGCATGCAATCCGCACTTAATCAGTTGGCAATCAGTGTCCGTAGGTATGGTATGTGCTTTGCACCTTCGAAGTGCAAAGTACTCCTACAAGACTGACAGGATTCCAATCCTGTACTCACCCTGGATGGTGAGCAGATAGACGTAGTCGAGAAGTTCGTGTATCTGGGTAGCTGCATAAGTGCTGGTGGGGGTGTGAGTGATGAGATCAATGCACGTATAGTGAAAGCCAGAGCGGCTTATGCCAATCTGGGCCACCTTTGGCGCCTTCGTGATGTTAGTCTGGCTGTAAAAGGCCGGATCTACAACGCGTCGGTGAGAGCAGTTCTGCTCTATGCTTGTGAAACCTGGCCTCTCCGAGTTGAGGATGTTAGACGACTCTGTGTCTGATCATTGTTGTCTCCGAAGGATTGCTGACATCCAGTGGCAACACCATGTTAGTAACGCTGAGGTTCGGCATCGTGTGTTCGAGCACAGAAACGATAATGCAATTGGTGTCACCATCTTGAAACACCAACTTCGGTGGCTTGGACATGTTCTACGAATGTCGTCCCAGAGAATTCCACGCCGTGCATTATTTGCCGACGCTGGGACTGGTTGGAAAAAGCGGAGTGGTGGTCAGTGTATGACATGGTGTAGAGGCATGAAAGAAAGCTACACAGGACTGGTTTCTGTTGGTCCTTCTCGACACCATGGCTGGGGTACAACGGATAATGGAACACAGTGGTTAGAGACGTTATCAGATATGGCTCAGAATAGAAGTCAGTGGCGATCCTGATGTAACCTTCTTTTACTTTCTTCATAAAAAAGTGGTTGCTTCTTCCTTAACTGAAAGATCTCTTCTGATTGTACGTTTCTGTTTCCCTCATTATTATTGTTATTACACTACCTTACACTAATCTGTTCGTTATTGTTTTTTTACGCTACTTACCTTTCCTTTTCTTCCTTCTTCTCTTCAAATTCTCATTGTTGTGTGGCGCATATATATTTGATGCCCTCTTGTACCAATAATTATGTGTTTAAATAAATAAATATATATATCAGGTTGCAACTTTATTCATAGAATTTGGTCGGAACCAACGGACTAGACAAACATGATACTGAGTACTATTCAGTGACTAGTCATTTATAAATGTCTGTCTCACTGATTATTTGCATCTCGAATAGCTCAGTGTTAACATCTTAGACAGTGAAGCAGAGTGGCGCTGGTTCGAATCCGACATGGAGCATCATTCCCCTCAGAATTGCAGATACGCCTTGCTGAATAGTGGCGACTAGCCTGAAACGTGGGTTTAGGTTTTTTTGCCGAATGTCTCCAACCACTTAGCATCTGAATATAGTGATTCTGTATTTTGTAGTGTAGTAAGCGAATTCACCTTGTGATTGTCATACTCCCTGGGATTCCAGTAACTAATACTCTATTCACATTAAGATGATTAAGTCCAACATTTGAAAGTGATAAGATTATTAAAGTACTTTTTAAAAAATGTACATTGAATTCAGCATGTTCTACAGAGAAATTTCAATTATTTTGTATACAAAAAAGTATATGTCAGTGATTAAATCTAACATTTACTTCTTTTTATCTGGTTCTGTGTAGCCTTTAATAAATCGCTTTGGTATTGAATACGATTCTGTAATGAAAAAAGGAAATTAAATTTAAAGTAGATCATAATTTTACTGTTAATATTTAGTTCTGAAATTACAATTTAAAAAATGCGCTTCGTTAATCGGTTGCTTAACATTAATTCAATGTGAAGATGATTTTGGTCATTGAATTCCATCAAATGGACAAGTATTGAAAGCCAGGGAAGCATAGCACAATACTATTTCACCGTAGTTTTTATTTAATTTGCTGAATGGTTAATCAACTGATTCCATCATGTCGGTCAACATTTCGTACATAAAATACGAAAATAGGTTAGAAATTTAAAATAATTTTAAGAATTCATATATAAGTAGCAGCTAGTATGTATTTCATTGTTATCGAAAAGCTATTATTCACAGTAACATTCCACTTCGAAATAATTTCAGGTTGTGAGACGATCTCTCTATTAGTAGAAAACATGTATCGATACTCAATAATTGGTTCTTTCAGGCATATAATTAACAATGTTTGAGTTGGGTACATATTTTTAGGTAGTGAGTTTCGCTCTTTGTGTTGTTGTGAAATATGCAAACTTGGATAGACATATTTTTGCATGACGTTTCATGTACGACATATTTGTTTGCATATTAGGTTTATTTAGGATATTGAATAAGACAAATATTCAACTTTATTTAATTATAAGTCTTTTATTACTGAATATGAAATTAGTTCAAATATTTTGAGATGTATGATCAATCACTTAATACAATTTAAGCTGGAGTAAGAGTAGGATGGAAGTAATTTAAGCGGGTCAAGCTAAGAAGTCGGATCTGTTCATAAAGTTATCGACTGTCAAACTGAGTTATGTTAGTAAGTCCAGTCTACTTGATTGCGGTCTTTGTAATTATCGTAATAACAAAATAGAATGTTACATAAATCCTGAGAATATTTAAATATAATATGACAGTCAACAACTATTCATTCATCTAATAAAGTGAAATAAAGATCGAGGAACATTAACACCAATTACTCAGCTTATTATCCAATGAGCTGTGCAATTACGTATGAAATATATAAACAGACAACAGTTATTATTTGCTCTTAGATTTTATTCATCATACCTGTAAGTAATTTCGAGATAGCTACAAGGTGAACACCTTGGGCTTGAATGACAGTTTTACCCGGGTATTGTTGATCATCTGTTTTCCCGGCTGAACAGGCTAAATGTACTTTCAGTTGTTTAGAAAATGAATCTGGATTAATGTGAAAATCTTCCAATTCCGCTATTCGAGTCTAAATATATGATGAACCCATAAATGAACAGATAATCAACGCATAGATAAGTTTAATAAACATGATAATTAAAGAAATTACTTGTCATCATTAATAACAGTAGTCTTCAATCACTACTTTTTCCTTCAGTAGGATAGAATAACTCGTTTACAAAATTACTTCTAATAATGACTAATGAATTTTAAAGATTCCCATTGTGAAAATTAGAACAACACATACAAGCGAACAATTGTTTTCAATTAGATCGTCATCACGCTTTACTCTAATATGCATGAATATTTATACGAAAATGTAAACCAATCAAGGCAATATGGGTCAATAATCACAGTGAAATAGAATAAGTCTCTACACATAATAGGTAAAAGTACAAGCTTATAGTAGGAAGACAGGTGAACTGATAATAGTAAGAATAATAAAATACAATAACAAAACTCTTATCAATAGTTAAACGTTGGAAATGGAAGGTCAAACGTGGGTAAATGGACTAGGAATAGTAATCATAAAACATTAAAATCATTACGTAATAAGATTTGTGTAAATAATTAGATAGTGAAGAATACAAAGAGGCGGAAAATTACAAACACATAATGGATGTGGAAATGAATTGTCAATACATTGACACTGAATTTAACAATTCATTTTCATCAGTGTCGTTGTTAGGAGTATGTGCATGGTTGTTACTTTTAGATTGTTCAAATAGTGGAACGATAGTTTCCCGGGTGTGATAAGCAGACTGGATTAGTAAAGTGGTCTTGATGATCATAGGGCCCAAGGAACAGATGTTTGAGGTTGATCATGCACAAATTTGAGTAGTTTTGGATCTATCAGCTCCAATTTTTTCATACCTCATCGACAACAGCGCAAATCCCTAGGGAAAACTGAAATGTGGTAATTTTAGGGTCTATTTTTGTTAAAATCTTCTTTCATTGTGAGAAGGCTTAAAAGTGAAACACTTTACTACACTCAAATTCTAGCACATTTGGCAGTATGATTTTGTAGTTTGATCTTAGTTTTCCTACGTTAATCTTATTACATTCCAACGGACCTACATGTAATGACAGAACTGAAAGGAATGCATTCCAGAAAATAAAACTCAGTTGGATCACGATAGGCGAGCTCGACTACTGCATCAAGGTAGCAGCTGTGGTCGGCATAATGTGTTGTTATTTTATAACTTTTATTTAAAGATAAGAGTCACATGTATTATAAGAAAGGTTTGAGAATATAATTTAACAAAATGATCGTCTAAAAATAAAACTTTTTCCTACTAATCTGTTTCTCCCACAAATTCGCTATTTTGAAGCGATAACAGTTAAAGAACAATTGAAAAAAAACGGGAAACATATGACAACTTTCATCGTCGAATTATTTCATCAGTTCATATTCAAAGAATAGAACTATCACATGTGGTGGTTACTACGCATACTGAATTATAATTCAATAATCAACATTTACTATTTGACATTCGTTATTATCGTGTTCTTCGCTTGATGAAAATAAGACAGTAACTATAGATCAACTGAGGAGTAATAGATTATATTTCTTGTACACAGAAAATCAGGAACTATAGGGTAGCTAAATTGCATAACTGAATATTAGTTGAATTTGCGTAGATGACTATAGCTTTTTGAGATGGATGGATAATTATTTGATATAGTTTGATATAAATGAAGACTTCCGATGATAGGTTGATATTTGACAATATATGTTAAGTTTCTAAACTCGTTCCTTTCTAAGCAACTTAAGTTATTGTATCCATTCAACTATCACTCTCCCAACCTCTCTTGCGTTTATAGTTCTTAAACGTTTAATAAATATCAACCCGGAAATGAATGGTAGCTACGTAAACATAAGCTTGCAAACAAATCAGTTGATTGTAGACTATTCGGTGTATAAATATAGTCGTGAGTTTATGAAGAGTTTTAGGTAAGATAATCAGATTAGCTGAAATTAGCGTTACGGACCAATCATTTACTTAAGCCTAAAGAACATTTAGAAATAATGCTTGGTTTATATGTTTTTACATGTTTTTTCTTACTGAGTTCAAAACTATATACCACTAGGTCTTTCATGTTTTTTTACTATATATTTTAAGATAACAATTTTATCCTGACCATTTTCCCTATATACAGAAATTTGTAGACCAAGGAATTACAATGTATGTAGACTTCCCTTTATTCAAGTAAATTATAGAACTCTTTTCGATAGTATAGTTACAAATAAATTGACATTAAACAATTCGTCAAAATTAAGATATGCTTGGAGTTGTAGCTATGAAGTATTAAAACATGTGTTTTCTAGATTAAATCATCGCTTGATTCATGTTAGTATACTGGTTGACAATTTTGTATAAACAATTAAGAGATTTTTAACTTAAAGTTAGTTGACAGTTCTAACAACGATAAAGGTCATTCTTCAGATTGTTCTTCTGAGGTAGGACAGGTTAGAAGTTTTGGTAATCAGTTGTGCTCGAGACAAACGTTTGTGATACATAAAGAAAATGTTGATCAATATCACTGCTTTTAAAACAAACGCTAACTTACCAATTTCTTTCCAGCTTTCGTAACAGTGTACAAATGTATATGAGGTGGCTCTTTTTTATTCCAGATGACAGGGGTGGACATATTCGGATAAATTATGCGATAAGCAGTAGTTAAGTTCTTTAAAGCTTGAGAAATAAGATCACCAAAACGAATGTGAAAAATTGGATTTGTTATGGTACTTTCAGGGGATTCAATAAAAGTTTTCGGCTCACATATGCTCGTTAATAATTTGTCTAAATGAACTAAACTATAAGGAAAATAAATAATCTTCAAGTTGTGTACAGCTAAGTCAATTTAAAGTTAGTGATAATAAAAACAATTTAAAAGAGAAAATGACGGATGTAACTTTTTTGGAATCATGCACGATCAAATATTCATTATTTATATGCCTGTACTGACAATCGATTTTATGATCAAAGGCCCGAGTGTGGACATTCATCTTAGTAAGTAAATATTGTTTCTATAGTTATTTTCAGTTGAAGAGGAAATTTTCCTTCATTCAGAGTTGGCAGTAAAAATAATGGTTAAAATGTCATTGAAGTGAGGTTAAAGACTAAATGGACAGCCAGATGCAACTTCTGTCACAGTAGCATTTATATCCTGAGTCAGAATACATTTATTTTTGCATAAATCACAACTGATATATTCGTAAAATAAGATAAAACGATGAGAAATAAAACAGTATACAAATATATTTTACCAGTCTACAATGGTTGAACATTGTAGAAATGTTCTATTGGGAAATATCCAACTTTATGATAAGATAACCAAGTAGGTGTATGCTATGATAATTGGCATAATCATTAAGTAATGAAATCGACTGAGAAATTAATAAAACTATTTTGCTTATGAACTAGCTCAAAAGAGTTAATAATAAAGGAAAACATATTTATTCAGCAAATAAGCACTAAAACATATTCTGCATGTTTACCTCGGATCTGTAGTCAATTGAAGCTTATTGTTTCGAACATAGTTATCAATAGTCCGTCTGGCTTCTGATTGGCTAATACATTCACCTGATCTAGGGAACAGAAAAAATGATTGATAAGTTTAGGGAGACAGATCAAGTTGAAACTGATTAATTTGAAGGTACTTAGGATTATAACGTAAACCTATTTAATATTTAGTGACTTGTTTACACAGTAAGATTCCCACAATGAAATCCTTAATCGTTGAATATTAGTCACCGTTTAGGACTAAAGCAGCGTCCTGATTAGTAGTATTTTTACCGTAAAGCTTTTTAGTGATCTTTAGAAAATACTTTTCACTGTGGAATCTGAGATTTATTGTATTAGCGGGCAATATCAACAAAACCAGATTTCAGCCAACTTTGATTTTCTTCATCTATTGGTTTTAGTTTACATAAGTGATTAAACAAATTTAAATCCAAATGAAACTGGTTCCATCTCAACTCGACGCAAGTTAAGACTTGATAAGCTGCACACAAACTTTCTATAATTTTCAGGAATACCTTCAAATAGTTGAGATTTGACAAGGGTTTCTGACAAGGTCTTCTTAAGGTTTCTGCACACTTTTGTCTGGACCTCTTGAAGGAAATTATAAAACTTGATTCAAGATTCAATATTAAGTTCCTCAACGACTTTGTTAGAATAATTTTTCATGGCTTTAATCCGAGACTTCATTGTTTATCGATGGTTTTCTGTGATGGAGGTAATTTACGTAAGCGTATTTTCGAAACATCAACGTGGATAGTAGCATGTTGAAAAAAACTCTATTCTAGTTAATTTTCTGGATACTGTGCGTCGAATTGTCATCAGATGAATGAATGCCATAACTCGTCTAAACTGTTCTCAATTCTTATGTATATTCGGTAGATTTCTGGGTGGAAAGGATAGAATATATGCAGCTAAAGGTTGTTATTTTATCACTGTAATTGGATTTATATGAATAATGTCGTACATTTTTAATGTCCTTATAAACGTGCTTAGTTATTTTGATTCATTTTGTATTGTTTGTTTGAATCTTCCCATTGATGTTTAGGACTGCAATTAGAATAAGTGTATCCTGTGTGAGGTGCCTCGATGTTGCCTTCAGTCACAAGCATTATATGCACAGATGGATAGTGGTTAGCAGTGTAATCTAGGACGCGCGTTTCGTATTACTTGGGACTCATCAGATGGACGTGATTGCATTTCATAGTTGATGTTTAGCCCGGGACTCGAATACATATGCTAACAATAGACTGGTCAATTGCGGTCCTAAACATTAATGAGAAGATTCAAACAAATAATACGAAATGAAGTAAAAATACGCCCCATCGCACAAGCTGGTGGCTATAAGGACCCAGCAGGTAAGTGGATAATGCGATGGTGTTTGGGGCGAACGGTAATGGGTTCGAGTCCCGAAGTGAGCATCAACTCTAGGATGCAGGTACATCCAGTTGACGAGTCTCAACTAGGAAGAAACGCACGTTCCGGATCCTACTATTAGCCACCATCCATTTTTGCTTAGTCATTTTGGTTTTTAGATTTTAAATGAAGTAGGTATAAGTTCGCTGTGCACGCGTTTGTAGGTTTCGATTGATACAACTGAAATTAACAATTACATTTTATGGTGGCCATCAATTATTTTCGTTAAGTAGCCTCCAAATGCCTTGGCACGACCGAGGGTGGGGAGAGTCTACACTCCTCGAAATGCTCTCACATGGCTACGCGTATATAGCTTCTGCCAGGGATGTCATACTCACTGCCTTCTCATGGCAGGGGTGTTGTTTACGAAATTGAGAGGACGAAAAGCGAAACTCCGGCGCCTTAACCGGGTCGGTAGACACAGAGGGTCCACCTAGGGGATTTGAGAAACCCTGATTCCAAACCAGTGGTGCATATGGGCTCTAGTATATCCTGAGGGAACAAAGGGCGCATGAACCAATCGTTGGTCACCGGCTACCATGGGACTGCATCTCCTTACGTTGCTCCACTGCTTTGTGGATCAGGCCTTTAGGTCAAAGGCTCCGGGTGTGGCCCCCGCAAGAAAACCACCTGATTCGGTCTGGGCATCCGGGCAGTATCACAGCCCTCACACACATCGAATGATATGTGTGACGCATATGTATATTTTTGAGATAAGATGTTTTGAAAGCCCATGCTTCTCTGGCAGAACGTGTTTCGTAATACTATACTTTATCATTAAGAATAACTTACAACAAACAAAACTAACTTCCATTTAACTTAACTAAGCTTCCATTTCACGTCCCTATTTCTACACGTTTTTAGTTGTAACTAACTAGTGAGAAAATTACTTGTGTAAACTTTAATCTCACAAAAATTAAAAGCGTAAATTTGGATTAGAGAAGTATCTATAATTATTCGATCTGCATTTGGATTCATCAGCAGCATAAAAATTGTCTAAGGCAAACATACCTTTTTTTAATCCTAACAATTCTAATTTAAAATGGTGAAATCCAAACTGATGTACAGGACTTTAAACCAAACCTTTTTGTGTGAAGACAAACAATGCTAGATGGTTATATCAATCAAAGTATACGAAATGATATATCGACCGGTGGCATAATTGGTTAAAAGTTCAATAACTGGAACCACTAACTCAAATCATGACAAATAACAGATTGCGAAAACGTGACATTCATTATGTAGGCACTTAACATTACAGGGATGAAGTATTTTTACACAAATCTAGCTCGATTTATTTACTTCTAGGAATTTTAGTAAACACTATTGAACAATTACGTCATAATTTTCGGTTAAAGGCTGCGTACACAGAAAAATGAGTACGTATTAATCTTGGTTGGGATTCAAACCATTATCTAACAACATGAAATTCTATATGCTTACTTTTATTTAATTAAGAACATGTTTTCGCAGTTACATTTCTAGAAAATGTATAGAATAGATAATAAGATATATATATATATATATATCCAGTGCTTCCAGGTTTTCAATGAAATTCAACGAACTCCACAAGCCGATACTGGAAATTATCATATGCTCACTAACAACTAACTTTAAGAGGAAATTTCCGGGGTTCTAGTGAGAAGCCGCGACCAGCAGAACAAGGGGTGAGGCAGTTACCCACCACAGACAATGAAAGGTGGTCGCGCAATTTCGTGAATTGATTGAGGTTAGGCATTATTACTGTTGGTAACCAGCTCAGTGATTTAGATATCAAGTATTTGGACGCGAGACAGAGAGTTCTGGGTTCGACTTCCGCGTGCAGAATCATGGATGCGCACTGCCGAATCCCGTAACAAGACAAAAAGGCCGTCTAGTGCTTCCAGGTTCTCAATGATGGTCTAAATTATATCGGTTCATAATTTTAATGAAACAAAAGATAAACTTACTTATAACCAAACTGTGAAAATAAAGCTGTAACAGGTCCTTTAATTATTCGAATATCTTCAATTTGGGGTGGGCCCATATAGTCATCTGGCCAATGACACTCAACTTTAGGATTTGTTATTGAAGCAGGAACGGTTACTCCTCGTAATCTAGATGAGTGTAGAATATGAAATTTTAAAAAGATAATCAAACTTTTGTGATGAATTACACAGCGTAAGCTAATCGATAACATGAAAGTCTCCACAGAATAAATGATCTTAAATCATAAATTAGTAACAGAAACACTTTAGTCCTCTGGGATATATACCTACATATATTCACTTCAGCTTATCATGTTCCCTTAGCACTGATTTTGGATTTTACGTACTACGTTCAGCCGAATGCAAGGAAAGAGCATTGGTTGGTTCAAGCTCTTGAAATCATAAAAAGACTAATTATGGGACTAGAACTAGGTTTCAAATTTGTCAAATGAGAATAAACATATAAATAAAAAGGAAAAGAAATAAGTGATATCACTCAGTATATACATGGCAATCGTTCGTTAGCTAATGATATCAAGTAATATAAACTGAACTAAAGTATGTCGAAGTCTTGGCAGTTTAGGTGGTCGCTTTTAAACTACTGAGTAGCAAGTCTGAACAGCGCCCAATCTACTGTTTGGACAGTAATACTGTTGTGTAAGCTAATTATATCGACAGACGTAAGTAGTATGTAACACCAATCGGAAGTGGAAAACCTGGCAACAGAAGGCTAAGAAGATTGAGTTGAAAATAATAGAAAGGAATTGTGGACTGGAAGAATCATACAGAACGTGAAGAACAAATGATGGAAATTTGCAAATGAAGTATTCGGTGTATGGTTCTCATATTTTGCCAAAATATTCTGTAACTTTGTGCCAAACAGTAAACCGATTGTCCCCGCTTGAGTCCTCGTTCACAAAAATACTGGTCATTACACAAAAGATGGGGCTCAGTACGGAACATATAAATTTGTACTGGATGAGTGAGCCACATAGTGTTCGGTTTAAAGGAAGTTAACATGATACTGTTTCGAAAACATTAAATGAAAGTTTGGAGTCAGATACAGAAAATAAAGGTAATGGAACTCAGAATTCAAATACAATACTTGTGTACTAAATTTGAACTGACACATACTGTGTAAGGACCAGCGTTGTTTCCCCTAGGAACGGAATTTCAGTAATGCGAAATTAAAGGGTGGAAATCCAACAAAAATCACACTAATATACATTTAATACAATCCGTTATCAATGTTTAATATTTTCCTAAAAAGACGAATAGTTCAAAAGTAAAATAAAAAAACAATGTTTTAATGTAATGTATTTACCGAGATACATGCTTATATATTTGGTTTTAGATCGCATGTTTTGCGCATGAGATAGTGATATCACCCAACAGCCTAAATCGAAGTAGGTGGAGCGGTGTTTGAACGTGCGAAGTTCTGATGAAAGCCAAACGTAACAGATTATTCAGCATTTCATAACATAAATTTGAAGTGACCTTGCAAAAACTGACTCAATGATCCACTTTGTCAGAAAAAACATATCGACTGACGAAACACTAAAAAGTTTCCATACTTACTCAATATGATCTTTATTAATATGATTTAACATCAATACACCAGATTTCGGTTCAGTCACCTCGACGAAACCTTCATCTTGCATAGCTTTCAAAAATAGGCCAACCTAGATTAACAAAACAGAAAATGAAGTAGATTCATCCTAATTAGAAGATGAATAATCGGTTATATTCTTAACCCTACTAGAAGTTTACAGGTAGATGAAATAATGGGACATGCAATAATAAATGTTGTTGAACTGTGGATTAGTAAAAGAATGATAAATATAATAGTTAAAACGTTATACAACAGGACGTTTAAGATTTCGAAGAAGTGAATAGATGCCAATTACGAAACGATTTTAAGTCATGTATTGTATCTACCGAAGAAATTCTACAATTATACGATTTAACTAGGTCACTTGATTATGCTCCGGTTACAATCCCAAAGTGAATATTCTAGTTACATTAAAAATAACCTACTTATGAGAGTGCTTTTGAATGAATAAACATATAAGTAGAACACTCTCTATACTCTTTCTCTCATTATTTTTAACTTAGTCCTGAATATGCACCTGTAGATACTACTATTTTTATTTGACTTTCCAATTACTCAGAAATCTGTGTAACGAAATAAAGTACATATGCGACACAGTTCTGTTTAATGAAGATGGTATTAAATAAAGTCTTTTGAATATCCTGAGGGATAGTTAAAAGTATTTCTTTTGGTACTTTGAAATGCTAGACGTATTATGACAAGTTTTTATAGATGTCTAATCTGGCCAAGGAGGCGGCAGTGGTTGAGAGTATCAAGTAATTTAATTACTTAGAAAGTTAAATCAACTGTGATAACTGTGGACACCTGAACATAAATACAGGGAGCTCACTTCATTTTACTATTCCTATTCAGTATTTTTTCCCATCTTTTGCACCATTTAAGTAGTTGCTAACAAGTAGTGGTAGATTTGGACGCTGATCAATGGAAACAATGTAGCAGTAATAACAGCAGTCGTATAAAATCAGCTCAAGACCAATGTAACTCCGGAAATAATACAGAATTTTCGAATATTTAATTTTCGGTTCATGAAAAACAATTACTAATCATATCATCCTTATTAAAAGATATATTTATTAAAGATATTCCATAAATTTAACGTATGGTTACTATAACTTTAATGAATTGTAACACAATCATTCACCTTTTTAAATTTTGTTTTCCTGATATCTAGATCCACTGATGGAGATCTGTAATGATAATAAATGAATAGTAAACTATGAAAACCTACACCATAATTCTCATAACTAAAAAGGAATTTAACCAACTATGAGTAGAATAAGTTGTTTGATCAAAGGGAAGAAAATACTGAAAATTGTACTGTTTTGATTTATAATGTATATTTACTAAAATGTATTTTTATTACATGATGTTATCAGAAAGCTAACAAATGAGGAGTTTCCTAGTCTAACATTTATCGGTATTATGTATCAATGCTTAATTAGAAGATCAGAAACAAAACTTTTTAACTTTTGTGAAATACTAGACAGTCAATCCCTTTTGATAGGTATTGTGAGTACTGATCATAGAAGGAACATCTATCCGTGTAGGACAGAGTGTTGAACACCGAGTGAGTCAATGTTATTGAGTTCTACTTCAAGAAGAGTAACGAATGTATGAGACAACTGAATGTTGAGAGAGGGTGTAACATCAGTTCAATATTTTATTCCTTCTAATGCTAGTTCGTTTGATACAGACTTGCAACTTACTACCTTAACGCCAAATACTTTGCTTTAAACGATATTTGCAAATAAAATTTGAATCTATGTGTGTAGCTCCGATTAGCATACATTATGCTCCACTTATATCGTTTCGGGCAATCGAGTAGTTCTACTGGTCATCATCAAAAAATATAGCTTACAGGTGAGCTGGGTCACATACAGGTAGAAAATTGTAATTCTAACCGAATCACACCGAAAATACCCTTTAGATCTCCACAGCAAATAAACAATCAACATAATAGTAAGCGTCCATTAATTTTTGAAGAAAAGAAATCACCAATACATTATTATTTACAAAAGAGGAACTTACTTGTGCACCAAAACGTATTGAGAATAAAAAATATTCACTTGTATTGGAAGTTGATTTGCTTTGATCAGCTTAAGACCTTTCAAAAAACACTCCCGTAGAATTTTATCAAGATCAAGTGATGGTTGTAACTCTGCAAAAAGAAAACAGGAATGCATAAAAATGCAGACATGAATGGAATCAGCTCATTTTCGCTGTGGTAAAAGATAGAAATTGAAGGCTAATAATCATCTGAATAGCCAGGCAACGATTAATAAAACCAAAAAAGTACAAATGTCACACTTAGATGGAGGATAAAAGCTACAAAGGGTAATTCGATGTATCGTTTCGTGAATTTGAACTGCTAAGATAGTTAATGCTGCACATGACTAATCAACAACAACCTCAACTTATGATGCCGAAGCAAGCAGGCATATAGGAAGACAAGTTCAGTCTGTTAAGCCGAAATATGTGGAGAATCGATTATTACTGACCCGTGGGCTTTCGCGTTGGGACAAGCAAGACAAGTGAAATCAATGGTCAGAGATCATATGCAATAATCCTTAAAATTAGTCAGAGTAAAGTGACTGTCTTTATTATGAATTATTTCAAATTTTAGTAGTATTAATTTTATAAATTAAATCACTGACTGATTACACATCTACTCAGTCAACTGAATGTTAAAATTTGAAAAATTCCCATATTGTAAATTTAGAACAACATATATAAGCGAACAATATTGTTTTCGATTAGATTCTCATCAGGCTTTACTAATACACAGTAATATTTATATGCATATACGAAATTATTAAACCAATCAATGAACGTAAAAAGCAATGTACCAACTATGAGACAGTTAAATCCTTTCCTTTTTTACTGAGACGATTGCAAAGTTAGACAGCTTGTGTATTTTTTATTTATTTGAAAATATAAATATTGGTGCAGGGAGGCACCAAATATATATGTGCGACACAATGAAAATGAGGTTGTGAAAAAATAGAGGAAGGGAAACGAATACAGTAAAAAGGAAGAACAACAATGAACAGAAATTAATGTATAAAACTGAAATAATAATGATGGGAGGAGCAGTTCAGTTAGAAAAAGTACAATCAAAAGAAACTCTTTCAATCAAAGAAGTTACTCTCATTTTCATGAAGTAAAAGAAAGTTGCAGCAGGATCACTATAGGCTTCTATTCTGAACCACTTCTGACAATGTCGCAAGCCATTGTGTTGCACTATCTCTAGGACCACAACCAGGGAGTCGACAATGACTGACAGAAGCCTGTCTTGTACAGCTTTCTTTTATAGCACGACACCATGTCATGCACTGACCTCACCGCTTTTTCTAACCAGTCCCAGAGTCGGCAAATGATGCGCAATGCGAAATTCGTTGAGACGACATTAGTAAGAAATGTCCAAGCCACCAAAGTCAGTGTTTCAACATGGTGACTCCAACCGAATTATCTTCGCTGTGTCCTAACTCACATTGCCGAACTTCTGCATTACTACCATACGTAATACACGTCCCAACCACATCAGTTGGTGAATATTTATCACCTCATCAATCGACCACCCATCCCTATTCCTAATGGCCATGTCCCACGTCCATGAAGTTGAACGGAGAGAGCTGCCGCACAGTAAACTCGGTCTTTGGTTGGTAGACGGATATCTCGCCTACGCCACAAATGACGCTCGTTGGTTGAGAGTGAGGTTGTACAACAAACTGCTGCCTTAAAGCAGAAGGAAAATACAAAAGCTCAGCACTAAAAATAGCACACTTGATGTTGCGGATTTTCGTCGCCCGTGCTAAGGCTTGTACGTACGGATTTAGCACATCTAAAAGTATCACTAAAAACCGTATGCAACCAACCTCGAGCAGTTTTCCCTTAGGCATTGGATCATGTTCCCAATTCGCAAACACTACTATTATTCCGGTTTTCTTTACAGATAACTCAGGAAATCCCTCATCACAGTGCAGTCAACCGAGGAGAGACAACTGTCCACGTACCAACAGTACTCAAGACCCTTTTGTTCACAATCAAATTCATTCATCACTTATTAATATGACTTAATCACCAGTGCTGAGAATTTGATTTTACGAAACGGTCTCGAATTGTGCTCTGAACTACATCCTGGAGCTATCAATGTTCTTACTTTATATTGAATAAAACAACAAGCCTCTCCAGTGATTTACGTACATTACATCTCCGAAACCGTACAGATAGGATCACAGTGTGATCACCCGTTTGACCGCACTTCATCCATATGAAGAACTCGGCCTTTCGTTGGTAGATGGGTATCCGATCTAATTACATTAACAGCCGGATTTTTAATACCCATTTCCTTGATAAGTCTGAACAGTTGTCTACTGTTAGCCATCGTTGCTGTCTTTTTCATCTTTCGCTATCCACCACTGCTCACGATTGTTTAGGTTTTTTATCAGCCTACGTTTAAGCTGCCTCCAGTCGATTAATGTTGAGTAAGCTCTGGCGCTTAATGCGACATTAACGCCAGCAAAACCAGACAATCTCACAGTGTCCACGGATGAACAGACACGAAATATGGTTTGCGAAGCGGCAGATGGTGAACGAATTTGTATTATCTCACTAGAATCTTGAAAATGGATCTGAAATAGACAATAGACATCGATGTTGAGATTTTCCACAGACACAGCTAACCCTATTTGTTGTCCGATCTGCATTAGTGTAAGGACGTTGAAAGAAGCGAGTTTGAATGGCATACGTGGTTTCAGAAAGACTGGTTCAGTATTCTTAGTCGGTGGCAGCTTTTATTTTTATTTTATTTTATTTGAATACATAAGTATTGGTACAATGGGGCATTAGATACATATGCGCCACATATCGGGCTCCCGAATGCCCTGGTACGGCCGAAGGTGAGGAGAGACCACTCTCCTGGAAATGCTTTCACATGGCTACGCGTATATAGTTTCTGCCAGGGATGTCATACTCACTGCCTTCTCATGGCAGGGGTGTTGTTTACGAAATTGAGAGGACAGAAAGCGAAACTCCGGCGCCTTAACCGGGTCGGTAGACACAGAGGGTCCACCTAGGGGATTTGAGAAACCCTGATTCCAAACCAGTGGTGCATATGGGCTCTAGTATATCCTGAGGGAACAAAGGGCGCATGAACCAATCGTTGGTCACCGGCTACCATGGGACTGCATCTCCTTACGTTGCTCCACTGCTTTGTGGATCAGGCCTTTAGGTCAAAGGCTCCGGGTGTGGCCCCTGCAAGAAAACCACCTGATTCGGTCTGGGCATCCGAGCAGTATCACAGCGCTCACATAAATCTAATGAGATGACAATTACCTCTAATGTCGGTGGTAGCATTCAACTTTCGACCAGTCAGTGACTTAAGATCGTTTAGATAGGACGAGATTTCCACTATAGGTGAACTGCTGTAGGAGTTGAAGCATAAAGGAATCGACAAGTAACGCGATCTATAATCAAAACGAATGTTATCAAATAGTTTTGAGTATGATTTGAGAGAATGAGAATTAGAGCATGAATAATTTTTCGAGTTGCATTCATCATTTAGTTTATTTGTTGGCTAAAATACTGCCCGTGTGCTCAAACCGAAGCAGGTGATTTTCTTATGTGGTCAGTCCCAGGACCTTCTAGCCAAAGGTCCAATCTACAAGGCAGTGCAGCAACGCTAGGAGATACAGTCTCACGTTAGCCATTTGTTCCCTCAGGATTATAGAGCCCATGTGCACTATTGGTTTGGAATTAGGGTTTTCCAGTTGTCGTAGGTGAATCCTTCGTATCGACCAGCTTGTGTAGTTTAGTGATTTGTTGCATTTGTTCACATTAACTCCACTTTTGTTGTTTTTGCTCCTCTCACTGTTCTTTGAAGTGGGACAATGATGACTGACTGACATTTGTGAAACAAACAAACAATTTTAGAAAATCAGTTGTCAAACGAATCCACAAATAAGACAAATACTACAATACTTCGGACTTCTGGTTATAAACAATTTTCTATGCAAGAGGATGACTGTTTAATATTTTCTACATCATCGTTTTTTACTGTTAAAATATAGAAGAGTAGTAAGTAATTATAATAGCAATATAATAAATGAATATACTGATCATCTAGCAATTGAATACTGTGACTAACCAACTGCTTCTTTCAAATAAAGATCATTCAATTCTTCGCTGATATTTTTATCGTCTGATATTTGTTGAGGCAATATATTTACTGGGGATTTCGACCCATCATCGACATTGTCTATTTCTTCATTTGTTTTAGGAGAACTCTCATCGATAATAGGCCACGGGAGAATGGGACGGTTGAACGATGACACCAGGGAACTAAACGTGTACAAATAGAAAATAACACACAACAGATCTATAAATCAAACTCAATCAAGAATAACGAATGGAAAAAGTTTATTCCGGGAAAACAAATAAAACTATGGGAATGAAGCGTGGTAACATTGGTCAACGATCTTCTAAAATTATTCAAGAAAATATGGGGATATACTGCTATGTTACGAATGTGGAGCGCTTCATTGTAATGTGTTTTGCAAAAGCACTATAGGCTAGTTGAATAAGTTGTGATTGATCCAAGTTGTTATTGGATAATTTGTTAGAATAAGATGATACAGAAGTGGGACTCAGGGGATACAAAACTACACGTTTGTAAATATAAATAAGCTGTAAATATTGTCCGCATGGAACGCGTCAGTTTTAATTTATTTTTAATCGTAAAACAAGCAAAGCTTGGTTCCACAGGGCACCAGGAAATCTCCTGCTAGAAACGAACTAATATTACAACAAAAGAACGGAGAGAGAATATTAAGTAATACAAATGAACAACAGTAAGTAAGAACATAACCGCAGTAGATTTTTACTCAGAAGGTGCATTCGAACGTTCCATAGACGACCATAACGTCAACACTAAACTTCCGTTCTTAATGATATCTGATGTCTTGTGACATTAAAATGATGACTTTCTTCGAAACATGACGAATCGAGAAACACCAGTAAAGTAAACGTATTCTTTTCTACACATTGCTAAACCATCAAATGACTACCTTACTTTACTTAACATTTTTGTATAATAGACAATTATCTGAGTGGTTCAATATGGTATTACACTTGAAGGCAGTTGTCAAGGTGCTTTGGAAGTAGATCCGGAAATTTTGAAATCGATTAACAATCGGCATTGGAAAATTTTGAGGAATGGTATGGACCATCAGGAATTGGAACTTACGCAACAGTTGAGAACTTCAAAAATAGCCCACTGAAAGCACGGGATAGAGGATATCCGTTGATTTTGTTGAACCGTGTAACAACACAATGACAAAACAACATGTACAACATATTCATAAGAAATTGAAAACACACTTAAACTTTGAAACGTACCACACATGATCACCCATAACATGAAACACGGATACAGCTTTCCCCTTACCGGCACTCATGTACATATCGTAGTTTGACATAGCTGTGTGCCCGATAGCTATTGGTGCGCTATATTACATCAAATACATAAGATATATATAATTACCGGTTGGAAGTTGTGCTGATACAACAAAGAACACCCTTCTCTATCTTATTAAATGTATAAGGAAGAATTGGACCATCAGTTACTACTCCAGGAAGCATAAGGTCTATAAAATGTTTGAATCTAAAAAAGCTTTATTTACCAGCCCCTTTCATTAGAACGGAAACTAAGTTCTCATGTACTTTGAAGTGTGGGAGGAGGTTCGGCAGATGCCATAGAAGGTAAACTTATCTAATATGAACTATAGAAGATCAAAAACTACCTGTGGGGAGACGTTCTTTTTCATTTTCAATAATTAAAGGAATATTTCCAAATTTGTAGATATTCACTTTTATTTCTGAAGAAGTTATAACTTTTAAACGGTGAACATCTTTTGTTTTAAAGATTTCCAAAATATTTGTAGGATCTAATTCATACTGATCATAGAATGAGTTTAGAAGTTGCTTCCTATAAATGAAAATTAAGTACAGAAATAAATAAAGCTCTGACTTTTCACAAGACTTAATTTGAGAATTAGATCTCACGGCGAATGGTTTTAAAAACATCTTGCATCGTATAAGACAGGACCGTTAGAATCTAAAATAAAATAAAGTAGGTGTTATAAAACAGTATTACTGACTTAACACTTCAAAGATGATCCGAAAATAGTGAATACTACTAGACGACATATTCTCCATTTTAAAGCCACCTGACTCGTTAGTTAAAAAGACAACAGATCTAAATATAATGGGCAGATGGCACGATTACTTAAGGGTTCAAGAACGGTCTTCCGGATGAGTGTAAAAAGGTTCAAAATGAAGAGATAGGGCTTTAAATGACTTTTATCAACCGCCTAGAATTTTGTTAATAACGACAAAATACGAAAGTTAGAGTATCATTGAAAACAAACAAATCGCAAGTTGAGGACAAACCCGAAAATTTTCCAGAGTTCCTCTCAATTGATTATCAACAAGTAGTTAGAAAATATTTACTATTTTCCAAAAATACCTCATAGCACACAGTGCAAGTGTTTAATTATTTCAGAATCTTGTACATACATTTTATTTTCTTTACCTACATACACGATTTTTACAAACGTTTTATTTGGAGAAAAGAAATTGATGGAACAACGGCGTAGTCAGTAGTTATCAAACGGGTTTGTAAATATGATCAGATATGTGAGGATCTGGTCCCATAAACGAGCATTTATATAAAAAGCGACTCCGTCAATAGAAATAACTATATTCAGCATTTACATACAACTGATATGAAAAGCCGGTGTTGCCAGTAACACTTATTTAACGATTTACGATACTGACATGTATGTATTTTGGAGAGCCAGGCTAAGAATCGGTAAGATTGTGGATTATTAACATTGATCATTAATGTAGATGACTGTTGGTAGACGAAGAAACAAAAATTTGTAGCCTTTTACGGAGATACCATAACTGGCAAACACACCAACTCTATGGGAAACAGGTGAGAAGTGCGGGCATTACGAAGTAATCTTCAACAAGACAGAGTTATTCTACGCGCAACTGATTATTTCTATTACCGTTTAATATAATATATTCCTATTTTGCGGATAAAGACATTGGATGGATATTAAACTTCTTCTAATATATGAACAGGACATACCACATAAATATGACCGTTGAGAAAGCGATAAAACAAGTAGGACAAACTCATGGACTAAAATCTTCAAGTCACCATTATATACTCCCAGTAACCTAGCATTTAGAACGGTCTGGCACTTGTTAAAATTTAGGTTACTTCATTAATGAAAATGTACACAATGCGACACAGTTTGGATGGAACATTGAAGTAGGTCCCCCGACACTAGCTGAAGTTCAGAAGGCTATAGCTGATCTGAAACGAGGAAGGGCAGCTGGTCCAGATGGATTAGCTCCAGAGGTCTTTAAGGATGGTGATCTAATTTTAGCAATTAGGTTGACTAGTATTTTAGCTAAAATATGGTAGTTGGACGTTATTCCATCTGACTGGTCATAATCACTTATCGTCCCAATATATGAGAGAGGGTTAAAATCATCCTGTGACAACCATTGAGGGATTATTTTGACTAATAAAACATTTAAAATACAGCCTCGATAATGATAGTTAGGGGTTGCCAAACCAAAACATGGCATCAGTGCTTGAAGTCACTAACTTCTGGTCTGAGCCATGTTGGTAGATGCAGACTACTTGGTTGGGGTCCGCGTGACTATCGTAACCAATGGTTGCAGACTCATGGTGACATGGCTCAGAATCGATCAAAATGGCGTAGATGTATACACTCTCCTTTTTCCCTTCAACCGTGAGACTAAAATCGTCTCATATCTTTTTAAGAATTAATTCTTTCTTCCTGTACTATATTATTATATGCAATCTTTCCTGTATATATTACACCATTGAGTTGACTGCTTCTATGAATCTGGTGTTCTTCTTGATGTGTTAATGAGGTGTGGCAACTTGGAACGATGCACATATGTGCCTGATTCTATGTTGTAACTGACTGACTGACACAACGTGACTTACTATAACAAATTCCATACATTGACATTTCATGGAATATGCTGCCAGTGTCGTACGATCAATTTCAACTGAAAATGCACCGCAGAATATTATCTCGATATTAGGTTATGTACACAAAGAGCCAGCTATTAACACACGATGTCATTATCGACGATCTCTTGAACAATTGTTCACGCGAGTGTAAGAAATTAATTTCTCACACTCGCCTCACCTAACACCTTAACTCATTCGCTTATAAAGCAGATAAAGTTAAAATTCGTATGTATAGACTGAATTACACGAAAAGACAAATAAATTTCCCTTTAGATACACAGTTTGAAAACCTAACAATAAGGAGTTCCTATGTATATGGTTCCTTGTTACAAAAATTAGGCTCGTGGCTCGGAAATAAGGCGCATATGCCGTACACATTGAGTGTAATTACATCTAAAAATGAACTCCGACACATCAATAACGGTTACAGCTATTGAATTTATGGTCTTAAACAACACGGTAACGTAAGGTATAAAACTACGCACCTAGTCCTCAAGAGCACCGGTTTCAAAATCCAATGTCTTCACAGCATGTTTCATATAATCTCAAATGGCTCTGGACTAAATGAAAGAGACTCTTGCTTAACATGTCCTCTTATCTAGCAGTAATGAATCATCGATGCTTACAGGTAAGAGCCTAGATACGCTTATAAAAGAAAATAAAATTAGTAAATGTAAGCGAGATACTGTCCTTAGTCCATAAGAATATGACAAGTTCCCTTTTTAGGAACTTCTAGGCAGTCGCTTAGATTGGCTCAGCCAGCGGCAAATTCCAGGATTTGGCTACTCTTAAGGAATGGAAAATGAATATATAGTCTCTTCTGGTGTATTGCGTAACTATAAATGCACATGAGGTCAAATCTTCGCTTGCGACCAAGGATGGTTGTTCACCTGTCTACTACAGTTAGCAAGTTGGTTATACAAGAGCAAACTTTCCCGAAACCGTGTTTTTGGGGTGAAAAGAAGTTTATGGATAGTGAGTAGTCGCGTAGACCGTCGCATATTATAGGTTCAATATTTTTTAAAGGTGATGATGTCACAGGTATTCAGTGTTTGACAACGCTTCTACCAGTAACACCTTCTAATATATTTCGTTCCCGCCCAGAGAAATCAAAAGACAGAGTCGAGGAGATTGGAAGAGTATATTTGGCGATGACCAATATATCGGAATTCTCTGATCTAAACTGGCTAGCGATTGTGGTTGATGTTGAGCACGGCGTTACCACACGTGATATGGTGCAGATGCCTGACCGAGCGCCTTCAACTAGATGAGTCCACTAAAACATATGGTCAGCATCCAATGTCGAAAACCTAGAGCTATTTATTTTGGGGATTTATTTACCGCTACAGATCACTCCCCCCCTAGTGGGGCAGTGACGACCCTAAGACGTGGCCAGCCAGAAGTTTAAACCCAACGAGTTTGTCGTTGGTAAACACTCTTCTGATAGCTTACTAAATTTAGCAGCGTCTGGTCGTCTTTCCTTACTATATGGGACGGAGGTACAACATAGTAAAAAAAGAAAATGTACAATGAAAATTTCGGATCCTCATAAACGTCATCGTTCTTTTCCAGCCGTCCTGGAAAAGAAAAAAGAAGATGTAGGTGCATGTCGAAATACACTCGTATGTGCGTAAAAGCACAATGTCGGCGGAAAAAAATGGAAAATAAACTCATGAACACGTAATAGCGTTAAAAAAATTGTTCTTTTTGTTTGTTTTTTTTTAAATAGAAATAAAAATATATAAGCATGTTAAAATTGTTTTTTTTTAAAAAAAAATAATATAAAATTTCTAGAAGTGCCTTACGTGCAATAGTCGTTTAAATGTTCTGGAAATCTCACTCTTCTTCCAGAACGCGTCGTTTTAAGTTTATTTTCGGATACTGTCGAAGTATCATCGTGTGTGTTGGTTGTCGGGTGAGGTATTATAAGTGTCGGAGTCGTGTCGTTCGATTGTACCGAAGGAAAATCCACGTTGATAGGATTTCCTTCTAAATACGCTGCTTTTAAGCGATCGATACTGATGCTATCGTTGGTTCCGTTCTTATCGACTATATAGTAGTTGGTTTTGCGTTGAACAATTTTCAAGTGTCCTTCGTATGCTGATTCGAATGGTCGTCGATGCGAGTCTCGACGAACGAAAACATGTGTACTATATCGTAAGTCAGGTTGAACGAAAACATCAGTTGATTGAGGTCGAGTGGAAACAGGTTTAACTGAACGCATTGCGTTTGTAAGCCTGTTCGTGTAGGAGGTTAGATCCATGTTCATTGAAGAGGATGAAGGATCCACGAATTCTCCTGGAAGTCGAAGTGTCGTACCATAAACGAGTTGAGACGCAGTGTATCCAATGTCAGCTTTCACTGCATTGCGGATACCTAGTAAGACGAGTGGAAGAGCGTCGGTCCACTGTGAAACGTTTGCAGCTGATAGCGAAGCTTTCAGTTGTCGGTGAAAACGTTCTACCAACCCGTTTGCTTGTGGATGGTAGGCGGTCGTTCGGAAGCGAGTGCTTCCTAAAAGAGTGGTCAGACGACGGAAAAGATCAGATTCAAATTGACGTCCGCGGTCTGTAGTGATGGTTGAAGGGCAGCCAAAGTTTGCTACCCATCGTTCGACGAAGGTGCGGGCCACTGTTTCAGCAGTGATGTCCTTGATAGGTACTGCTTCTGGCCATCGAGTGAAACGGTCAACGCAGGTTAAGAGATAAGAGTATCCATTTGAATCTGGTAAAGGTCCTACCAAATCCAGATGAACATGGTCGAAACGAGCATCGGGAGTTTTAAACGAGCCTAAGGGACATTTATTGTGTCTGATAACCTTAGATTTTTGGCAGCTTACACAGGAGCGTGCCCACTCCCTCACGTCTTTATTCATTCCAGGCCAGCAAAACCTTTCTGCTATAAGCTTGATGGTTGCACGAACACCTGGATGCGAAAGTTTGTGCAATGTGTTGAAGACATTGCGTCGATAATGTTTCGGCACGATTGGGCGATCCCTACCTGTAGATGTGTCACAAAGTAAGGTTTCCTTACCTGTTCCCATCTGTTTGATGCGTAGTTTAAGTGTTGTGGACGATAACTCGTGCTGAAGATCACTGTCTTCTTTTTGAAGCTCGGCGAGTTTAAGAAGGTCGATTCCTTGGAAACTGTTCAAGGAAGTTATGCGAGATAAGGCGTCTGCGACTACATTGTTTGCTCCAGAGATGTGTTGGATATCTGAAGTAAACTGCGAAATGTAGTCCAGTTGTCGAGACTCACGGGGAGAGTACTTGTCAGAAGGAGAGCTTAACGAGAAAGTGAGCGGTTTATGGTCCGTGAAAAGAGCGAATTCACGACCTTCGATGTAGTGTTGGAAATGCCGTACAGCACAATACATAGCTAGGAGTTCCCTACCGAATGTGCTGTATCTCGATTCGGTGTCTAGCAACCTTCTAGAGAAAAATGCCAAGGGTTGCCAGGAGTTGTTAACCCATTGTTGTAAGACTCCTCCGATTGCTGAGTCGGATGCGTCTACTGCGATGCTAATGGGTGCTCGGGTGTCCTGATGTGCGAGCATTGTTGCTTTAGCAATCAGTTCCTTAACTGTGGAGAATGCTTTTCGTGTGGTGTCGTCCAAATTAATGGATTTCGCATTTCCACGAAGTTGGTCGGTCAGAGGTTTCATAAGTAATGCGCATTTGGGTATGAAACGTCTATAGAAACTTACCAGGCCGTTAAACGTGCGTAATTGCTTGACGGTGGTCGGTTCTGGGTAATCCAGAATGGCCGCCACTTTGGTCCTAAGAGGTCGAATGCCTTGAGCATCGATAGTGTGTCCTAGGAAGTCTAACGAGTCGGTTCCGAATTGGCATTTCTGAATGTTTACAGTTATGCCATGTTTTTGAAGTCGTTCGAATACAAGATCCAGATGCTTGAGATGTGTTTCTCTGTCCGGACTTGCGATTAGACAGTCATCAACATACGCGTGTACGAAGTTGAGACCTCGAAAAACGTCGTCTATGAATCTTTGGAATGTTTGAGCAGCATTCCTTAGACCGAAAGGCATTCGCAAAAATTCATAGAGTCCGAAGGGAGTTATGATAGCCGTTTTCGGTATGTCGTCAGTAGCCATAGGGATTTGGTTATACGCTTTAACCAAGTCGATTTTCGAAAAGACAGTTGTACCTTTCAAGGTAGCTGTCAAATCGTGAATGTGAGGCAACGGGTAACGATCGGGAATGGTTTTCGCGTTCAATCGCCGATAGTCACCAGTTGGACGCCAATCGTTGCTGTCCTTTTTAGGGACCATGTGCAACGGAGATGCATATGGGCTACTTGACGGTCGTATGATTCCTAAGTCCATCATGTGATCGAATTCGTTTTTCGCTAACCTTAGCTTTTCAGGAGCTAGTCGGCGTGCTTTAGAAAATACAGGTGGTCCTGTAGTCGTGATGTGATGTGTAACATTGCTGGTTACACACGGTAGTTTCGTTTGAGTTTGTTGTATCTCAGGGTACTTATCGAGTAGTGGTTGATAGAGTGGGTCTATCATATGTTTAACTGTGACTGGGGATACTCTACAACCAGTAAAAGAAGTTACGCAAACGGACAAATTAGTGTTCCCGTCTACTAGCCTCCGTTTGCGCGTGTCGATGATCAGATTATGGTGTTGTAGAAGATCCATACCAATGATTGGCATAGAAACATCTGCAACAACGAAAATCCAGTGAATGGGTTTGCGTAAACCCACGTTAAGGTAAACGTACCTTTTGCCATACGTAGCGATCGGTTTTCCGTTTGCCGCCTGTAAGTTTAGGGTCGATTCGTGTAGTCGGTCGTTAGGATTTGCTGGGAGAACGCTAACTTCTGCGCCAGTGTCGACGAGGTAGCGAACTCTCGTTGTCACATCTGTGACGAATAACAGACGGCTTTGTTCGCCGGCTACGGTTGCCGTTAACGCGTGCCGGCTTGGAAGTTTCCCGAATTGCTTTTCGAATCAGTCGGTTTCGTGTTGGGAAAATTGCAGGGTTTTCTGCAATTTCTGGAAAACTTTCCATACTGGTTATGATACCAGCACCAGTCGGGGTTATCTGTCTCTCGTGGTCTAGAGACAGATCGCTTACGAGAAATGCTTCTACGTGGTGTGCGCGATCTCTTACGGTCGGTACGAAGACTAAGATAACGCGTGAGTGTGTGACATAAGTCGTTTATATCATTCTGAGTCGTTTGAGGTTTTTCTTTGACTGAAAATACCTCGGTAGTAGATTTCGTAATTTCTAAAATGCGGTTGGCAGATGCAGCTAGTTCGTCTAAGGCGTTGTTCTGGAACGAGACCAGAACTGCTTGCACCTGTTGGGGAAGTTTTGACAAGAAGAGTTGTTTGAATAGGCCTTCGTCGAAAGTTCTTGGGCCTATAACCTCTCTCATCCATTGCAACATGTCTGTCGCAGAACCGTGTTGCAGGTCGATATTGTTGAAGAGTTGATCTAACCTTTGTCGATCGGTTAG